AAAAAAAAAAAGTTTTTACCCCCCCCCCCAAAAAAGTGACCATTCCATATGTATGATTCTACAACTCGGTTTTTTTTCAGGTAAAAATACATTAGTCTTTACTGAGATCTTATTTACTGATACCTTAGTGAGTACCAGTTCCATTATATGACTATACTATTATTTAAATTATATTTAAGTTATTTCAAATTTTTCACTGTTACAGATTAAGTTACAGTGAACGTTCTTGTGCACGTGTACGTGTATCTTTGCCCTTTTGTACATTCTGTCTATGAAATAGTTTCCTTCCAATGATATTGCTGAGTTAAAGGATGTTTACATTTGAAATTTTGGTGGATAATGCCAAACTGCCCTTTAGGAAGGTTGTATCAATATACATTCTCACACAAAAAAAGAAATCATGAGAGGAGAGGACCTCTGTTCTGGACTGAATTGTAACCCCCCTCCTGATCCAGGCAAAATTTATATGTTGAAGGGCTTCAGCCCCAGTAGCTGTATTTGGAGATAGAGCTTTATGGAGGTAATTAAATTTAATGACATCATAAAGATGGGAGCCTAATCCAATAGGACTGGTGTCAGAAGAGGAAGAGATACCTGCAAGCCAGGGAAAGAGGTCTCACCAGAAACCAGCCCTGTGAGTACCTTGATCTTGAACTTTCAGCCTCTGAAGCTATGAGAAAATAAATTTGTTTTTAGGCCACTTAGTCTGTGGTATTCTGTTATGGCAGCCTGGATAGATTAATACAACCTCCTTTTATTTTTTCTTTTTAAAAATTTTATTTATTTATTTGACAGAGAGAGAGAGTGCACCAAGGGAGAAAGAGGCAGAGGGAGAGGGACAAGCAGGCTCCCCGTAGAGCAGGGAGCCCAATGTGGTGCTCGATCCCAGGACCCTGAGATCAGGACCCGAGCCGAAGGCAGATGCTTAACGGACTGAACCACCCAGGTGCCCCCTCCTTTTATTTTCTTAATATTTCAAGTGTATTAGTTTTGCCTTCCCAAATAAGCTTTAAAAGCCGTAAATTCAGAAACTGAATCTGTTCACCATTTTTTCATAGAATTGTCAAATGAGGGAAACACTAAGTTTTATTTCCAAGAATTTGGAAATAATTTGCCTATGAGAAATCATTAAGAACCAATACAGAATGGCACAATTGTTCCTCTATGGAGGAAACATATTTTTTTTTTTCCAAAAAGTGATTTTATTATAGCACCGGGACAGGACCCATGGGCAGAAAGAGCAGCCTGGAAGAAACAAATTCTAAGAGATGCCCTGTAAATACTGGTGATTTGGGCTCTAATTATGGTCATTACTCTGGTGATTGGGCTTTGGGAAGAAGATTAATGTTAAAGCAGAAAACTGTGCCATTTCTGCTTTTTCATCATCCAGTGAAACAATCTAATCTCGTAAGTATGATGTCAGCATGGAATCTACTCAAAAAGATAAGAATATATAGGGGCGCCTGGGTGGCTCAATCGGTTAGGCTTCCAACTCTTGATTTCATCTCAGGTCATGATCTCAGGATGGTGAGAATGAGCTCCTTGTCGGGCTCCATGCTGAGCATGGAACCTGCATGGGATTCTCTCTCTCCCTCTCCCTCCGCTCCTCCTGTGCTCACTCTCTCTCCTTAAAAAAAAAAAAAAATCTTTGGGGGCACCTGGGTGGCTCAGTCAGTTACTCGTCTGCCTTTGGCTCAGGTCATGATCTCAGGGTCCTGGGATCAAGCCCTGCATCAGGTTCCCTGCTCAGCAGGGAGCCTGCTTTTCCCTCTCCCCCTGTGCTCCCTGTGCTTGTGCTCTTTTACTCTCTCTCTGTCAAATAAATAAATAAAATATATAAAAAAGTTAAGAATGTATCTTTGGATCTCCAGTGCCACCCAGACAGGTGTGTCATGGTTCCTTGTCTCCTGGCAAGTGCATTTCTTCCTTTCTTTATTTTTTTTTCCTTTATTTTTTTTTTAAAGATTTTATTTTTGGGGC